TTGTACTCCCCTCCCTATATATTGTAAGCCGCCCTGAGTCCCCTCAGGGAAAAGGGCGGCCTATAAATAATAATAAAACCAAAACCAAAACCATGTATTGATTGCAAGGAATTAAAATGGTAGAATTTAACCCTAAATTCTATACTTAAAAAGATATTTGCTTGGACAGAGGAAAAATTGGAAGAAAGGATGGAAAGTTTATTTTCCCCACACTTGCATGGAGAAACAATTCAGGGCCAGACATAACTTTTATGAACAGCTGTCCAGGTATGATACTTGGGTAGAGAAAAATAATGGACTTGGCTACAGGACTGAGTAGTAAAAAGAGCAAAGCAGCTAGAGAAAATGAAAGAGAGAAAGAGGGGAGAGAGGGAGGGAGGGAGGGAAAGAGTGGGTAATGTGGGCAATCATTTGTATGATTTTCTAGCAGAGCTAGCTCTTCCCTGTCCACCCACATTGTCCCACTGAGAAATGGTAGCTGTAATTTTTGTGTGCCCTTGGATAACATTGGAATTACTTAAGTCAAAGCTCGTGTGGCCCGAGGTTGCCTGCAGATTGAGATATGAGCCGTATGGCAATTCTCTACAACATACATTCTTAATCACCACAGATGATAACTTCTGCTTTATATTAGGATTGCTATAACACAGTATAACTGGAAGATGTAGAAAAAAAGAATGACTAGGCAAAATACAAGTTTAAGGAAGAAAACAAATAGATACCTAAGACAGACTTTACAAAAATATTAAGGAGTTACAACGTTTTTTTACTTTCTTTGTTTACAGATGTCTGTTGTCATGATTTTGATGTTTCTGTTGGCTTGGTCTCCATATTCTATTGTGTGTTTATGGTCTGCATTTGGAGACCCAGAAAAAATCCCCCCCACAATGGCAATCATAGCCCCACTGTTTGCAAAGTCATCTACCTTCTATAATCCCTGCATTTATGTGATCGCAAACAAAAAGTAAGTGGCTCTATTGCAGGATGAGGCGGGCCTGGATGGAGGAGAGAGACATGAGTTTTATGTAGCTCTGAAAAATGTAATATTTTTAAAGATAAGGAAGCCACTGTTTATTTATTTTTATTTTATTTTATTTAGTTTGTCAAACATGTAAAAGATAACAGGTATAAGTATAAACATAAATATGAATAACAGTAAATGGGTATGAATAAATGGAGACAGTAGGACAGGGATGGTAGGCACCAATGGTGGGTTGCAGGCGATACGCCCCGGTATGGGTGTACCGGAGCCTGCCCAGAGCACCGGGTATCGTTCCGGTATGGTGCCGGAAGGGCCTAACCACCCGCCCGAGCTCATTATATGTCCTTTAAAGCCTTCAGCACTTCTGCGCACGGGCATGGCGCATACAGCACCTGCGCAATGCTCCGCCAAGCAGCTGGAGCATTGACGCTTGTGGCATGTATGACACGTGTGCACCGCGTGCTCTGGGCACATCCATGTGGACGATGCTGGGCCTGTTCCAACCGTACCGGTTGGAACGGGATCTGGAACCCACCACTGGTAGGCACGCTGGTGCGTTAATGCACAGCCCTTACAGATTAGGGTGACGTCAACAGTTGACAGTCTTAGGTTAACGTTTGTATATGTATGTGTATATATATCTGTGTGTGTGTGTATACACATACATACACACACGCATGCTCATATACACACACACACACACATATATATATATATACATCATACATATAGATGTACATATACATATACATTTCCTCCAGCACCATACACTATGTAC